CATCTCCCGCCTGGCTGCGAACCTCTGAGGCGCCGCGCCACTCAGTCCCCAGCTCCACGCCACTCGACCGGACCATCTCCTCTCACCACCTGGCTCCAACTTTCCCCCCGGAGGTGCTGGTCCCGGTCCCCTCCATAACGCCCCCTGCCCAACGCGCTCACGTCTGCGGGGGGGGGGGGGGGGGGGGGGGAATCTCCAAAATCATTGTTTCCGGGAGATGCGCCTCTTTGTTCGCACTTTCCCTGCCAATCAACGTGAACAATCCACTCTGGCATCGAGTTTCTGCCAGTTTTTTCATCACCCCAAGAGACAAAATGCAAAGGGCAGGGGGTCAACCCCAGAAGATACCGGCAGTTACACAATCGGAGGTGGAGTTCAACCCTAGCTCTCCATCCTTGTTCCTCCACCCGGATTCACCCCCTCCACCCAACACACCAGAACAACTCCGAGGGGCTCCAAGTGTTGGAACCCTCTTCTTCCAGGCTCACCCCACCACACTGTCCCTTAGGAGAGCCCTCTAAGCCTCAGGTCAAAGCCCACCTCCGGGCTACCTGTTGCTGCTGGTGCTGCGCAACTCGGTCCAAGGGCTCAAGGGCAGATCCCCACCTGAAGTATCGCGCCCACCTATGGGACCCCAAACTTGCCCGAACCTCAATCTAGGACAAGAAGAATAAACAATTTTTGTTGTAAGACTCTGGATGACCTCGCTCTCTCTGACCCTGGAGCCAAGCGCTCCTGGCCAGTTCTCTTCCCTAGGCCACAGCCTTATCTTTGCCCTAAAGATCTGGCTCGGGTCCCAGGCCGCCTTCCATCCTCTACCCCCTGGCGCTGCTGGTCCGGCCAAGCATCTCCCATTCCATCCCCTCCCCCACTGCCTTGCCCTAGGCAAATCAAGTGTCCCGACCAGGGGCAGTTCCAGACTCGTCCCCATGTCCTTTACCAGTCATTCCCAGAATTCCAGAATTGGGGACCCCATCCTCACCTCCCCCCATCTCTAGACCCGCATCCCAACTGCGGGTCACAGCGTTGACTCTCTGAGTGACTCAGAGTAGCGCTAATTTTTCTTCTATATCTCACTAGAATTGAAGAGGAGGAAAGCCGAGAGATGGGGGAAATGGGAGAGAATGGGGGCACGAGTGGGGAAGCAGTTTCTAGGGCAAAGGCAAACCCCGAAACATTCCAAAGCAAACACCCACTCTCCAGGAGGTACCCGGCCCAGAGCGCACTTTCGTCTTCACCCTCTTTCCCCATCCCAGACGTGGGACCTTTGCGGGATGGTGAAGTTTGGGGGTAAAGAGTTGGGGTGGAGGAGGCTTGGGGCCTTGGGAACAGTGCTGGGGTTGGGTTGGGGGTGGGGGAGATGCCTGAAGGAGGAGGTGGGGAGGGAGCAAAGAGCCCCTGCTGGGTCCGGAATGTCTCTGGCGGTCCCCTTTCTCGCCCAACGACTCCTTGGCCAGGTCTGTCCCCCAGAGCAGAACAAAGGCACCGCGAGGAGCGCTCTGTCCTTGCCTCCGGCGTCCACACCCACCCTGAGCGCTACTTGCGCGAACCCATGCCTCACTCGGAAACTTTGCAACCAACTTCCCCCAGAGCGAGCGCAGGCGGCGCGGGGAACGGGAGAAGCGAGGACAACTGCATCCCGAGACCAGATATGCCCGTTTTCTCGTACCCTCCCAGACGATGAGCGCCCCTCCTCGCTCCGCGGTCCCAGCCCGCGCGCCGGGCGACCCTTGGCGCAGGGCAAAGGTAACACGCGCGCGTTCCCTTGCTCCCCTACGAGACAGAAACGCTTTCCTTTAGTTTGGACAGAGTCGCGCTGGGCAGTGCGGCCAGAGGATAGAGAAAAACAGAAGCGGGCGTGGGGAAGGAGCAGGGCGGCGGCTCCGACCGCCGCGCGAGATCCGGTACAAGAGCAAGGGCGCGTGCGAGCGGCGCCCGTCGGGCTGGGTTCCCGAGCGCCTGTCCCGCCTGCGGATCAGCCAGCGCAGGGTCAGGGATCCCCGCCCGCCCAGCCGGCCTTCTGGCGCGTCGGCCTCCTCACCTGCGGGGCCGGGACACCTGCGCCTGTCTTCCTGGAGCCCTGGGTCTCCTGGGCAGCTACTCGCCTACAGGAAGCTCAGGAACCTCATCTTAGGTTAGGGATCTGGAACGCAACACAACCAACCACAGAGAGAAAACAGCCCCCACCCACTCTTGTCTGGCACATTTTCCTCTTTGTTTAATTATGATGACTTCCAGAATTCTCTTTTTTAGAACTCTACCTTCCTTCCCAGACAAACCCTTACTTTCCGCTCTCCACGGAAATCTGCTTGGAAAATAATGAAGTCAGTACTTTGAGAGAATTCCATTCTGCTGTATCTTGAAAATACTCGAGTTTACGGTAAATTACTTAAGCGTCTCTAACTTCTAAATAATACCCAATACTCCACTTCCTGTTATAGTGTACTAATTGGATCAATTAACATTACCAAACCTTTGAAAATATCTACTGTTTCTTTCTCTTTTCTCAAGGAATGAAAGGTAGGGGCCATTTGCTAGGTGAAAGGTATATGGCTTTAAGAGGACTTTCTCCCTGATTTATGAAACATACCTGTCAGCAGTTTGAGGCATTTCCCTTTCCCAGCCTGCTTGTGAACAAAGTCATTTCTCCCAAGAATCTTGGTCCTTAACGGGTCAGAGTTCCCCCATCTCCACCCTTGGGCCCTTCTATGTAAGACCTAGACATTGGTACATTTTAAAAAGATGCCAGTTTTTCTCAGATGCCATCACATTTCTAATATTTTTTAAAAGTTAACATCAAGGGTCAAAGATGGATATATCAGAACAAATGGGCTTAGAAACCCAAGTATCCTCTCTGCACTGACAATGTTGGCGCTTCCCTTGGGGGCTCCCCCCCCCCAGTCATTCCTACTGGCAGGTCAATGGCATTTTACTGCAAGTCTCTTCCCTATCTGCTTCTCTATTCTACGGCTTCCTCTGACTGTCAGACCCCACTTTGCCAGTGCAGGGGTGCAGGCTGGAAATGCCAGACAGTTAATGAGTAGCCCTCAAGGAATCGAGGAGGTAAGTTGGTTTAAAATTACCCCATATCCCACCCCCCTTCCTTGCCCCCCAGGAAGGAGGATTCTACAAACATAGCTCATTTCACTGTACTTCACTTTATTGCACTTCACAGATGTTGCGTTTTTTACAAATTGAAGGCAAGACCCTCCACCAGCAAGAAGATGGTGACTGGCTGTACTGTGGTGGTCTGGAACCAAACCTACAGCATCTCCGAGGTATGCTTGTATTGCGTTGTATTCTACACTGTCTCCCAGAGGTCCCCAACTTTGAGTGTCAGTTGCCTACAACAGTCACCTGCTCTTTAAGGAACCCTGTGTTGGCTTCCTTCCTTACCTGTCTCTCTGTCCTTCTGGTGCTATCTGGGATCACATCCCAAATAGACAACGATACTTGCTCTTCAATCAGTGTCAGCTTCTGAGGAAACTCCCTCTAAGAAACCTCCCATATAGGTGCTTCTAAAGGAGGAATCTGTTCCATTTAGAGAATGAAGTCACGAGAGCAGTTTTTCACTGAAAACGAAATTATTTCAGTAATGAAAAATATTTGAGTTACTGCGTTCATTTTCTATGTAATAGTATAAAATTAGATATTTTACTGAATAATGTATAGAAGCAGCGATCTGTAGAATCTTGCCTTGTGTGTGAAATTTTTGTACAGAAATTCATAACAAATAAGTGCCTTAAGTCCAATGCCAGCAGACAGCAATACAACTGGGAATACTATTAGAATCACCTTTTCAAAATAAAAAGAGTTAGAAGTCACATAATGGGTTTGATTGAGACTTCGATGAGAAAGAAGGATGATAAATACATCCCATACAAAGTCTCAGTGTGACCTAGTCGGTACTATTTCCAGTGAGAGATCCTATGGTGTTTTTCAGCAAACTTCTCACAGCATGAATTGGTCAACTATTGCAACACTTTCAATGGAATTATATATTAAATATTCTTCTGCTGTTAGTCACCATTATGAATAAGTCATCAAATGTCCTTATAAGTCCCTAATGTCACCCCTAGCTCCAGAACTTTCCCTTTGTTAGGCTGGTTTCACTGCTATTTTTCTTAAGATCTCACTGTGATAGTTGTTAGTGTTCACCAAATTTTTGTCATTCTCCCTCTGGGTACACGGTAGGAATGCAATTCCCTACTCCCTTTGAATCAGATGTGGTCATGTGATTTATCCTGGCCAATGAAATGTGAGCAGAAATTCTGTGTCTCTTCCACGTGGCAGCTTTAAGAGCCAGTGGGTGATTTCACATGCTCCCTTTCCATCTGTGACAGTGCTGGATACGGCTGCTGATTTAATCTGGGTACCAGAGTGAGCCCTCCCAGCCAAATTTCAGTGGTCGGTCAGTGCAAGCAAAAAATAACCCTTTCTTGTCATAAGCCACTGAGATTTTAGGGTTGGTGGTAATCACAGCATTACCTGGCTGATTCTTACTTGTTCAAATACCCGCAGTCATTTATCTTTGCAAAGTTATACCTCCAATTTCCTTATGGGTTTTAGATCTTGGAAAGTTTATACAGTAGCTTACCATTAGTTTATCTTCTTGTTAAAGAACAAAAAAAAACCTACCAACAAATTACTAGGAAGTGGGTAGGATTTTGTGGAGTTTGATATATTTCATTTTTGCATCTGCCAACAGAAAAAGTTAACTCTTCCCAATGTTTGCAGTTGGCTTACTAACTTCCACGGCCTCCTCAACCAACACTGTGAGCTCATTGTGTCATCATACTACGTTTTAAACTACATTTCTTTGGACAAGTTACTTCACCTTTGGTGAAGTAGTTTTGGTTTTACGTACCTAATAAAACTGAGAAG